CAAGCAGGGGGATCAGGATGTGTCCCTGGTGCATGGGAGGGCTTTTTGGAGCCCTGTGCCTAGGGTGTGACACCTGCTCAGCCTTGGTGCAGGGGGGAGGGGCTTGGGCCTGCCTCAGCTGAGTGTGCCAGGCTCTGCTGACTCCCCATGGGAGACCTTGACTTGGGGGAGGTTGGAATGGGGGGGTTGTTGGAGGGGGGAGGCTGGGGGGGAAGAGGGGGGAATCTGTGGCTGGTATGCAAAGTAAATAGAAAATTTCTTAATAATAATAAAAGAATGTTTAAAAAAGAAACCAAAAAAAATTTAAAAAAAAAAAAGAAACAAACAAACGAACAACAACAACAACAACAAAACGGAAAAGGAACTCAAACAAGGCAGAGTTGCTGACCTCACCAACAGCATATAAGCTCTCTCCTTCTCCTGACTCCTCAACAACTCTTTTCCCTCATCTCTTTGATCCCAGCTGGAGTGAGGTAAGATTTCACTGATTCTGGATCTGTGTTTCCTTGACTAGTAATGAACATTTTCCCATGCTCGTGGAGATATGTAGCTCCTCCTTTAAGAAGTGCATACCAGATCTTATATATTTGCTCTCGAGGTGTTTGAGCTCCTTTTACCTTAGATACCAACCCGCCAGCATGTAACAGTGTGCCAAAGTTTTCTATTTGTTTTCTTTGTTGTACAGAAGCTTTTAATTTGGTGTTAAATTTTTCTCTGTTTTTGCTTTTGTGACATGTAAACTGGGGGCCAAAACATCTTTATCCTAACGCATTTCCCTCTGGTAATTTCATATCTTAATTTCAGTCTTTGATGTAATGTGCATTGGCATTTGTATACAGTGAAAGGCAGGAAAGGCTCTTCTTATGAAAATCATACCTTGAGGGTCTAGTGGATATTTTTCTGGAAAGGGAGGCACTATTCAGCTCACTACCATTCCCCCCTTGCAGAATTGCTTTACTAGCAGGTTCTGGATGTCTCCTGTTCTGCAGTATTACATGGAGCTCAGGGCCTTCAGGACCTGAGAGTCTGGGAACAATTTATATGGAAAACAGTCTTGGCGGGTCCAGCTGTATAAACTGTTGACATGACTGATCCACAGTTAAGGGGAAGGATTCTATTGTAAATATGAGAGAGAGAACAGCCAGAGGCATCTGAAAGAGTCCAGAGCAGACAGAGAAAGAAGCAGACTGAATATGACCAGCAGGTTGGACCTGAGAGAAGCAGAAGCAGAACAGAGACAGAGAGGGAGAAAGAGATCAGAGTTATGTGGAGAATGAGTAGCTGGGGAGGGGAGAAGGTCGTGTGCAGGTGGCAGTTTAGGGTAGAGGAGGAGGTGAGAACTAGAATACTAGCATGGACTTTGAAATGTGTAATATATGCCTGTGATACTGAAGGAGGCCAGCATGTGCTTTGGTATGCTTACAGGCACCCGTTTGTCCCTCCTGTCTTTTGGAATTTGGGGACATGGAGTTTTCTTTGGATCTGACACCAGCTCCATTCCAGATGGCTGGCATGGCTGCATTTCACAGGGAAGAGAGTATCCACTGATCTCTATCCTGCTGCTGATTCATGTATAACACGGTGGCCTTTGGAGTATGCCCCATTGTGGCCTCTCACATTTTATGAAAGTGTGTGTGTGTGTGTGTGTGTGTGTGTGTGTGTGTGTGTGTGTGTGTATAGGGGGGGTGTGGTTTGGTATCATACCCCAGTGCTAGTGTTTGCAAAGTGTCTCTTATGTTAGTCCATTCCAATTTAAAACAGATTAGCTCTAATAAGACTGACCCAGGCTGGCTTTCTGTGTGATGGCCTCAATTTCAAGCTGATCCATCATGGATGATTACAGTACAATAGGATTTGGCAGAACAAAGGTAGGAGTTTTGAATTCTTACCTGCAATTTCCAGCTGTGGGAGACAATAACAGAAAAACAAACAGCAACGTTAGTTGTAGGGGATGAGAACACACTGACTTTTCTTCTTGCATTTCTATGTTCCCTGGAATTCAACAACCTATTTTCCCCAAAGAACAAATAAGCTCTCTGATACCAATTGTGCATGCTACAAAACCTTTTCCTTTAGTCTCAAGAGCTAGAAAGCTGGCGAGAAAATACAAGTGATTGATTTCAGAGATTTTTAGGCTGGATCTTTTAATATTCGGGGCCCTGTCTCCGTGTTTTCTGTGTACATGCATGTGAATACATGGGTGCAAGTACCTGGGCACTCATGCATGTGGGAATCAAAGCAGGATGGTGGCTGCTGTTCTGTTGCCTTCCACCTTATTGCCTTGAGACAGGGTCCCTCGCTGGAAAGGAAGCCCATTGGTTCTGCCAGGCTGCTTGGTTGGCCACCTAGCTCTCAGCTCTGCCTGACTTTACCCCTCCTCTAATCTTGGGGGTTTCAGTAATTTGGAGATTTGAACTTGGGCCCTCACACTTGCAGAGTGGGTGTTCTTACTCACTCAGCCATCTCACCAGCTCTCTGGTTTTTTTTATGTGGTATTTTTATTATAAGATCATACTGTGTTCTTCTTGGATGCTTTTCTCTGTTCTGGCTTCTGCACAGCTGTTATGTTTTAGTCTTCCTGTTGGTCTTTTCTGTTTCTTTTCCTATTTTTTTTTCTTCCACCTCCCCAGCCCACCTCCTAATCCTGATATTCACCAGAATTTCCCTTGTTCTCTTGAGATGTATGTTCTGAAGACTTTAACTGCTTGCTGGAGAAATATTGCATCCAACCAGGTAAAAGATCTAGGAACTATTGGAAGCATTTGCCTTTGATTTTAGAAATTCCCAGTACAGGTTTTCATGGATGGGCTTGGAGAAATAGAATACTGCTAAATGGCACATGCAGAGTAACTATTATGAAGTGGTCAAAGATTTGTGAACTTGTACACTTGGCAGAAGTCCTATTGATCGCTACTTCAACATGCACAGATGCTCTGAAAGCAAAAAGAAAAAAATATTTACAAAAACACGCAAAATCATGATGTGTCCCTTGTGTGACGCCCAGTGTTATTGATGTCACCACCGTGCCAATGCCTGCTCTCACCATTGCTCTGTGGTTTTCGAGGTTTCCTTTTATTTATGTTTATTGCAAATGGTTCAAGTAGCTTCACGTAAAAACATTAGGCATCACAGATATCTGTGAAGGCAGTCTTTCCGGGGAGACAGTCATGTCTTTCCTTCTGTTTCTAGCTGGCTCTGGTCTTCTGTGTGCTAGAAAATGAGACAGGGAGGGAGGAAGGAAACACTTTAGCCTGCCCAAGGGAAGTGGGAGTGTCCTGCTACGATGACTATTTCCTGGCTGAGTGCAACAGACCTTTACATTCCTCAGAGTTAGCAGTGAGATATTTTTTAAAAAGATGGATTAATTTTAAAAGTAAAGATAGCAAGCTCACTACCTAGCCACAGAAGTAGCATATGTTTTTTATAAAAACTAACAATATCTTTCCAAATGAAAATGGAATTAGTGGGGAAAGTGGTATTCACACTTTGGCAAATCTCATTTGTATGGCTTAATTGTGATGTTTAGTTACTGTGGTGCTTGACGTGCACTGTCAGATTGACAGAATGCATAATTGCCTGTGAGACAGGACTCTGGATGTACCTGTCAGGGATTATATCGATTATATCAACTGAGGTAGGGAGACTCACCCACTGTGGGTGGTGTCATCCCCTATTGTAGTCCTGGACTGTGTTAGCGGAGAAAGGGAACAAAGCTTCAGCATGCATTCAGTGTTCCCTGCTGGGGTGTGGATGTGATGCAGCCAGCTGCTTCAAGCTTCTGTCACCTTGATTTCCCTGCCACGATGGACAATACACTGGAACTGTGAGCCAGAAGAAATCCCTTTCCCCTTAAGCTGCTTCTTAACGATTATTTATTACAGGACCAGGAAAAGAAATTAAGACAGTTAGCTTTATTGTTGTTGCCTTGCCAGAATGCCAAATGGAAACGATTTAGAGAATGAAAGAGCTATTCTGCTCAGGGTTTAGGTGTTTCTATTCATCATGGCATAGAGAACATGGTGGAACTGAATAGCTCACATCATGGCAGCCAAAG